TGAAGATTGAAAACAGTTTATTTGTGCATAAGACATACATAAATACAGAGTACATCGTTATAAAAGAAATAATTACATGTAGAAGTACATGTATTTACCTACATGCAATATATATGGAGTGCCCCCCCCCCGACCCAGCACGACCCAGTTAAGGCTCAACAATGCAATGGTCATGCATGTGCATCGGACATGTTAGACAAGGTAGATGAACAGGATGTAATTTCAGAATTTGTAAGTTGCCATCCAGGCAGAAAAGATAAAATTGGAATAATAAAAAAATAAATGATAAGTTATCTGACTGGACTGTCTGGTATTACTATTAATACTGAATTAATTAGAGATGTTATATCAGTGCTCTAAGATTTGGAATGTGTATTTAATCATGACAATGTGCCTATTCAAATTCAAACTGCAAAACATACAGATGTACATAGTGAAAGTATAAATGCAGATTGAAAATAGGCTTATTTTTCATAATTATGTACTGATAGTATATACAATTTTGTAAACAATGTTTTATTAGTTATCATACTCATAATATATATTTTAGATACTTTAGTCAAAACATCAGCTTTAGCTACATTCCTCTTTGCAATTTACAAATTGACCTTTTAAAATGATCAGAATTGGTTGCTTTCAACATAGCCTGAAAATGCAGGAAATGCCATTTCCAGGCTCTACATTTCAAAATTTTTTGGGGGGAGTACCCCCAGACCTCCCGCATCGGCTACATATTTCTGCAGTGGCACTTTTTGGGAGGCCACTACGGCCCTGCATTGAAGAAGTTGCATTGCCAGAGTAGAATGAATGTGATCTATAATCTATAGAGGTGAGGATTATTTTCCTTGTTACTGTCTTTGAATCAATTCATTTGATCTTGCTCATGTGTGTCGTTGCCACTGTTACTATATATAATACTAACTATATATATGTAAACTATATTATAATTTGTGTAAATAGTGCTTTTCATCACCATTGTATCGAGATGTAATTTTGCTTAGTAATAATCTAGTATGGATTTTATCTTATAACTACCTGTGTTCTACGTGTATAGTTTCCATCCATTGGTGGTTTTACGATGGAAACGTGAATTTATTTGAAAGACGTTATGTTTTTATTTTCATATTAAACTTGCCATATAATATACTTATTACTATCGTTAAGGTTCGTCAGGTTTACATATACACCATTATTTAAAGCGATCGAATAACACATGCGAATGTATGCACTTTTAAAACAACATGTAACACTGTCCCTACACAAACATAGTTATTCACAGTATATATTAGATCAAGAGTTAATAATACCAAAGGTATGCTAACATGCTAATAAAAGCAAGGTATTATTAGCTCTTGATTAGATACAATAACATTTTTGGCTTTGAAGCGTAAAAGCAGGCTTCTTCGAAAACAACAGTGTTTGTGATTCCATGTATGGTCATTGCTGCACGTAAAGGCAGGATGCAACTTGTGTTCTTCACCTACACCTAATAAGTTTATTACATTTGAGCTATTACAAGTGGTGTATACTAGCTACCATAAGTATATTATAACAACTATTAGATGACATAAATGCATCTAGTTGTCCGTTAACACTCTCTGCCACCACAAATAGTATCTTCACTGCTGCTGAGTAGATATATACGGTCAGGAAGCGTACAAGACGCGTGGCGATCCGGAGTTCCTTGCTAACTAGACTAGCACTAGACACGACTTGGAAACATCTAATTCATGAAACCACTCCACCCGCACCTCCCCTTTTGTCACAGTATATAGCATATAATCCAGCATATATGTACTTCTTTTTCTTTCTCTTTCTCGCTCTCTCTTGTTTTTCTCTCTCTCGCTCTCTCTCTCCCTCTCTATATCTCTTTCATTCTCCCACTCATATCCTTCTCTCGCCCTCCCCTCTCTATATCTCCCTCTCCCTTTTATCTCCCCTCCTCGTTCCCTCTTGCCCTATAACTATACATATTTTGAGAGAAGAAATGCAATGACTAATTCGTTGCACAAACCTACCCGCCCAACCTCACCCAACCTCACCTCCATTTTCAGCATGTCTTAGCGTTTTCATGCAGCCTCGCCTCCCAACTTATTCATAGCTCTCTATAGCATCAGTAAGATCCCGCTGATAACCGCATAGATTTCTGCGTGTTTGTTACCAAGTGCTACCTTCGATCAGCCCCGCTTGGCGCGCGGTCGCATATCTCTCGCTTCCCGAAGCATCCCCCCCCTCCACGGGAATGCTCCCGTAGCTGCACGCAGCAGCCTCCGGCATGCACGCTGCAGCACGCGCACGAGGTCGTCTGCTCCCGGAAATGTAGAGCGAGTGCGTCGGGGGTCGTGCCTCTCATATATGGAGCGTTCGTGGTTACGGAGCACTGTCGGCTGCCACAGCGTCCGCGTGTGTTCAGAAAAATTCGCGGGAATTTTTTCGCGCGCTTTTCGGCAGCTTCACTGACGGCGAGATACGCGGAAGCGGCGGGTGTTCGGTACGGCGATTCTTCGTGTCCCACCACAGATTGTTGGGAGTTTGAGATGATGGGGGTATAGGCGGGATGCGAGCGAAAACGTAACGGGGAGATTTGCAATCCCAGGCTTTGATGAGACTAGAGTTTCTAGTTTAGATCTGGATGTGATTGTTGGAGCCGCTCTACGGGCTTGCACATCGCCCCCCTTTTACATTCATGTTCGAGTTCGGGTGCACCTGCAACGCCACGACGCAAAATTGTTGCCGTGATATCAGATCGAAAGTCATGATTAACCATGTAGCCGTTTTCTCAGCAATAAATTTCCACCAAATAGATAAAAGAAAATTCCCAAGCAATTATTTATTCATTCATTTATTCATTAAAATAAGCTTTATGTATTACAAGGGGTTTATCGATTGCATCATTGTCTACACATGCAATGTACACGCGTACAAAACTAGAATTGTCGGATTTCTAGTACTATCAAATATTTTAGCACATATTACTCAGTACTGTATATATAAATATAATCGTACCAATAACGGAATTTACCCAGTCGGAGTCCCCATTGAGCCAAATATGGACTACTGACTGTGAAAATCGCTTAACCGACAGAGGAGATGACTGTGTTACTATACCTATACACACGTGTCTGTGCGTGCGCGCGTGCGCGTGTGTGTATGTGCGTGCGCTTGCATGTGTGTGTGCGCTTGTATGCGTGTGCGTACGTCTCGATCTCTATCTATCCATCCATCTATCTATCTATCTCTGTATGTGTGCGTGCTGTGTGTGTGTGTGTGTGTGTGTGTGTGTGGTGTGTGCGTGCGTGCGTGCGTGCGTGTGTGTGTGTGTGTGTGTGTGTGTGTGTGTGTGTGCCTGTTCGAGTGCGTGTGTACATGCGTGCGTGCGTGCGTGCGTGCGTGCGTGCCGTGTGTACATGCGTGCGTGCGTGCGTGCGTGCGTGTGTGTGATGCACCGTGTCTGTCGTTATCGTCACTAATTCATGAGGCAGCAGCACAACAACAGAGCACAGAAGGCTAGGCATCCGGCGTCGTTCCCTGAACCGCTCGACTGGCCAGCGGGCACCTGCTGAACGATCCTGCAGGAGAGAAAAATTAAATAAATAAATTAAAGTAAATTTTTTTTTTAATTGTTATGTTTACGATGCAAAAAGAGACCCCCGCACGAGGAGATGCTTGATATATAAACACTGGAGGATCTGTGGAGGATCTGTGAAGCCACGTTGCGTGGGCTCGTACGATAGAAGGATGTCGTCATTTGATTTCTTCCTCTGCAAGAGAAAGAGTTGTGCAATGCCAGGCGTGGTGTGCGTGTGTGTGTGTGTGTGTGTGTGTGTGTGTGTGTGTGTGTGTGTGTGTGTGTGTGTGTGTGTGTGCGTGCGTGCGTGCGTGCGTGCGTGCGTGCGTGCGTGGGCGGGTGCTTGTGCGTGCGTGAGTGGTACCGCAAGCTGTGTTCAGACTTACACGGTATGGCTCTGTGGTTGTCCGTAGTTTGGCTGCACAGGATAGGTACCCGGTTGTTGTACGTAGTTCACGCTAGATGGCCCGGCTTGCACTGCTGGTAAAACTGTCACGCCACCTGGTTGCTGATAGTATCCTTAAACACGTTGAACACTCACATCTAAATTTTCATTAAACATTTACCTATTCGAATATTGTATACGGTCTGAGCACAATTTCATTGTGTACAATTCACCGTGTATAATATTATTACTATACCTAACCCTAACCTATTATACTATCAGGAATATATACGGTTTTTGACAATATCCGGTTTTTGACATATATATAAATTCGTTATAAAAACCTAGAAATGGGCAAAGAGGGGTCCTGTAGGCCTATAGGTTTGCCTTGTGTTTCACAGGATTTTCCAGAGGTGAATTTCACTGTAAGATAATTTTCTGCTAAAAATTTGGAATTCCATCTTGCATTCTAGACATCAAAATTACTGCTCAGATGCTCTCGGAATGCACCAATTTTTAAAAGTTTTCTTGAAGGAGGTCACCCTCACTAAGTGGCGACGTGCCAGACGTCCGCAGCTTTCTAAAACAACAGAAAAATTAAGCAGGAAAAAGTGCCCGTTATTTCTTCCTGGACACCCCCTTTCAAAAATCCTGGATCCGCCCCTGTTATCAATGCATATAACAGTGCATCATTGCATATAACACCAACCTGGCTGGCCGTACGGCGGTGGTCCTCCTTGATTCTGTGGATAATATGGGCTTTGCTGCGGGTACCCATAACCTTGCTGTGTGTAGCCACCCGGCTGCTGCTGGTTCATACTGTAAACCAATGAGCAGGCACCCTCTCGTCTGCAACCGCTAGTTTAATGTCCTAATTCACCTTACAGCGCCCTATTGCCTATTTTTCCTCACGCTAAGTTTTACTGGCAAACGTATATAACACAGGCCGCGCTTTTAAGGCCGCGCTTTGTGTAGGCCGCGCTTTTCAGACTCTAACAATTATTGTTTCCTAGTTTTCGCACATGATACCGCGCACACGCACACACGAACAGTAATGCGGCCTCTCGAGTATCGTCGCGGCGTGACAGAACGTGTCAAAGTCCGTGTGTGGCAGCTAGCTGCCGGGTCCGAGCTCAGTGCGTCAGTGCGTTTAGAAATTTCAGTGTCTGTGTTGATAGGCATGTTACGTACTATTCATAATCGTTTTCATGGAGGGAAGGGGGAACGGGAAAGAGAGAGGGGGGTGGGGTGGATCCATACTCATGTTCCCAGGTAAAAGCGCAATTTTGGCTTTCCCGCTTCCCGATTGACTTCTATTCCTGAATCGCGGGAAATTCATCTGATATTTCCCGGTTCCCAGTTAATTAAAATCGTCTACTCCCGCCACATGAAAATACCACCCACCTCCCTCTCTATATGGGATCACTCGTTTGTGAGTGCATGTAATGGAATAGACGTGTTAGATATGGATATTGATATATATTTGATATCATATATATGATTATATCGATATCGTAACTCATTGCTGCGGGTTGTTCACTCACTGGTCTTGTCTCAACCATCTTGTTTCAAACCTAATAATACAAATACGAATAATACTAATAATTATTATAATAATAATGATAATAATAATGCAACCTTAACCTAAATGCCCAGCTTGTCATTAGAAATGAATTTTATTTCTTACATGCTCATGTGACCATATATGTCCGGTCATAATATTTACACGAAGCAGTAAAATAACACAGGTGCGTACACATACACATGTATCTATGATAGCGTTAGTGTTTAAACTGATACGCTGTCAGCTTTAAGTGCAATTAGTAGCAATGCATGTGCGTTAGCCATGGTGGACAGGAATGAACCGGGCGATGGACTAAGCTGCGTGTTTATATGCGCGCGTGCGTGTGAGCGCGCAAAAACTGCAAAATAACTAAACTTATTTATTCACTTTTATATTTGTTCATTCATTGTGTTTTAATCATTTACATGAGCGATGGCATATAGTATATATATATATATATATATCCTGATATATATATATATATATATCCTGATACATACGCCATACGCCATACGCCCATACCGACTCACGAACACACGAATAAGCCACGAGTAGGTACGCTAAGCGTACTGACAATGTAACAGCTGGCTTGCTGCGTTGCCTGGCTCGCTCGCAAATCGTAGCAGCCGCGTCCGTTGCTGCTGCTACGCTGACATGTCACACGCTCGCTGGCTCGCGAAGGTATTCACTGGCTGGCCCTGCTAAGCTTGGCTGACGCGCCTAAATCGATTGCGCGGAAACGCCACGAACACACAAGAAGCGAATTACATAACCTCCAACTCCGTTGGGCGGAGGTAATAAGCGAATGAGCGGCTTTGTTTTTACTTTGTTACCCACAACACACACACGCGCGCGAATCACGTTCTGACTTCGATTAACAAAAAAGATTTTATTCCGTTTATTTCATTGTTATGAAATTCTAACTGATGCAGGTAATTACTATCGTCAACGTCGCCGAACAACAGCCGCACTCGGCAAACGAAGAGCAAAAACTTCACGGTTCTGGCCGCCCTCTACTAGAGTCGAACTCGCGACGTCTAGCTAGACCCAGCAGGGTTTCCGTAGGAGTTGCGTTATCGCAGCACATTCCGCGCCCCGCGTGTGGGCCCGAAAAGTTCCTTCACCACGGATATGATGAAATTCAATAAATATTGTTATTTTAATAAATAAAAAGAAGATAAAGATAATTATGAATAGATAATTAATGAATAAACAAGATGAGATAAGATGGCGGCGCAATGCGTGACATAATTATGCCAAAGGTGGATGCGGCTGCCCGCAATGCAACAACAAACTCGTAACGATTCTATTCTGTCCGCGTGTGCAATCTGTCAATCGTACACGAATTTCTACACTACAGCTTTATATCGCATCGCACGTAAAATACGAGCACAACGCCGGTTAAATGCCAACGTGGTAATCAGGGGCGTGTACAGGATTTGTACCAGGGGGGGGGTGCAACGTAACCCAAACAACTTGGAGCAGCGAAGGGGGGGTCTGGGGGCCTTCCCCCAAAAAAATTCTGAAATAGACGCCCGCCTCAATGATGCGTTTCTGCGCGAGAAAGGGGGGGGGGGTCCCGGACCCCCTGGACCCCCCCCCCCCAGGGGGAGGGCCCTGTACACGCCCCTGGTAATACACGCATGCGGTCAGTTACCTGCACGTAGGTCGGTGCACGTGCCATCGGTAACGGGGTAACTTTCTCACTTCCCAGGTACTGCTCGCTACACCACGCTGTGTTACAGACTCCCGGAAAAATAACGTGAAACATTATTATATCGACAATTTAAATTCGACGAAATGTCATTTGTAGGCAAGCAGACGAGATTTGTTTAGTGCTTACAGGAAGTGATATATGCTTTGTTGAGCGACAAGACCTAGAAGAAGGGCACAAACGAGGAGAGGCGCGCGCGAACAAAATACACCCACACACAGCGAGAGAGAGAGGGGGTGGGACAGACACAACACGGATACATACACATACATGCACGCACGCACGCACACACACATACACACTCATACATACGCACGCACACACCAAACAACCACGCACACGCAGCACTCCACGATGCGACACATGCACATACGCACACGGACACGCACAGCACGCACCATGCAGCCACCGCAAATGCATACGTACACACATACATACGCAAGCATACGCACATACATACGCACACGCGCACACATGCGCACACGCATACGCACACGCAAATATATACACACACACGCGCACACAGGCACACAGGCACACTCACACTCACACAGGCACACGCACACAGGCACACACACACAGGCACACGCACACAGGCACACACACGCACACGCACACAGGCACACACACGCACACCCAGCACACGCCACAGCACACACAGGCACACGCACACAGGCACATCACCACGCACCACCACACAGCACACACCACGACAGGCACACGCAGTATCACAGGCAGCACACACGCAACTCAGCACACGGTCCGCAGGCAACACACACGCGACACAAGGCAAACGCAGCACACACACACGCGCGACACAGCGCACTTTATCAGCACACAGGCAGCACGCACACAGCGCAGCATCACACGGCACAGGCCACCACACAAGGCACACACACGCACTACAGGCACACACGCTCACAGGCCACACGCACGACAGCACACACGACACAGGCACCCACCACTACAGGCACATCACACGCACACGGCCACACAGGCACACACGACACAGGCACACGCACACAGGCACACACACGTGTTGCACATGCACANCTAGAATAATATTAGTATACAGCGAAAATGTAACAACGAAAAGGAAGGCAAATCAAAAATCAGCACATGACACGTGAGCCTAATAAAGAAAAAGACAATTAGTAACAAATTTACAACAATAGATTACAGTAACCGTGATCGCACTTTAAAAACATACCGTAAGTTGTTGTTCTCATGTTCTATTCCGTACTGAACCCGGGGCGGACGGACGGACGGAGGGACGAACGGAGAGACAGACAGACCGACCGACCGCCAGATGTAGACAGACGGAAAAGCGACACATAGAGATACATAAACAAACGCAAACACAGACATGCAGGCATGCTATACACGCGCACGCACGCACGCACACACACACGCACACGCACACGCACACGGAAACGCACACGTACACACAAGCACGGTTACTGTAATCTAAAAAGACTTTCTGTGCACCGCAACTTAGACACTGTCTGTCACAACTGCGCTGATCAGATATAATATGTAAATTTTCTTAATTGTCTTTTTCTAATTGAGTCATGGGTCTTACTGATTTTTGGTCTGCCTTCCTTTTCGTTATTACATTTTTGCCGTATACTGATATCGTTCCATTAATTAGTTTGTTATTTCAGTGCACTGTGCTTAGACTGATATCAGTCCGTCCATCAGTCCGTCTCTCTCAATCACTCTTGCTTTCTTTCTGTGCGTGTGCGTGCGCGCGCGTGTGTGCGTATATGTGTGCGTGTGTGTGCCTGTGCTGCCTGTGTGTGCCTGTGTGTGTGTGTGTGTGTGTGTGTGTGTGTGTGTGTGNCGCCCCCCCCCTTTGCGCGAGCCTGTCCCCGTTCTCCCCGTCGCACGCCCCCCCCCTGCGCTCGCTGTCCCCGTTCTCCCCGTGCAGCCCCCCCCCCTCTGCGCTCGCGCCCCCCCTCCATCGCGCGGCCGATCAGGCCGACAGTCACGTAAATCATTTGGCTGCTGCGTGCGTCAGAAACCCCATTTTAATTAAGCGCGTGTGTGGCGTGGATTGACAGCGGTCATTATTACGCGCCCGTCGTTACTATGTGATGAGTCGCTAATAGCAGCCTCGCGCGACGACTTCCGGACGCCCCCCCGCACGACGACCCCCGGAGCCCCCCCCCCGCAACGACCCCCGCGCGCGATTTCCCCCTCCCCGCGACGACCCCCGCGCGCGACGACCCTTGCGTGACGACCCCCGCGCGACGACCCCCCCCCCCGCGCGACGACCTCCCCTCGGGCGACGACCCCCCTCGCGCGACGGCCCCCGCGACGGCAGGTGGACGCGCGGACATATAGTGATGGGCAGACTAACGGACGGACAGGCGGGCGGGCGGTCGGTCGGTTGGACGGACGGACGGGCGGACGCATGGACGGATTTGGAGGTTTTGCGTCGGATGGGCGTGCGCCGCGGGCGTGCATGCAGACGCGTGGCGAAACCGCCTCCGCTTCCGCGGCAACAAGAGAGAACGCGCGCCCTTTGAGAGCGGTTTTCGTCGGCGGAGATTTCCGTCGGAGAATAATATTGGAGTTTCTTGCTTATTCACTTTAAATTGCCTTTTAGGTTGGCGAAAGGAAACGGATCCTCTGTCGCGTTTGCGCTGAAGCCATACAAGCACACACAGGCGTACGCACACATGCACGCACGCGCACACACACACGCACGCACGCACACACACATTTACGCTCACATACACATGCGCGCACGCGCAGTTTTAAACA